GCCTTCTCCATTACTCTATCCCATGACAGTCTTTATGGACTACCAGGTCTTCACACAGGGAGGGCTAATAATTGGTTGACGATTTCAGCATCTATGTTCATCAGGGACATTGGCCGATGATTTTCTCTTTTGGTAGTCTTTGGTTCAGGGTAATACTGGCCTTGTAAAATGAGTTTGGAAGTCTTCTTTCCTCTTCAATTTTTTGGAATAGTTTGAGAAAAATAGGTATTAATTTTTCTATTTGGTGAAATCCACTTGTGAAGCCATCTGGTCCAGGGCTTTTGTTTTTTGGGAGTTTTAAAAATACTTATTACTGATTTAATGCCATTACTTTTAATTGATCTATTTACATTTTCTGTTTCTTCTTGATTCAGTCTTGAAAGATTGTATGTTTCTAAAAATTTATCATTTCTTTTAGATGGTCTAGTTTTGGGGGTATATGATTGTTTATAGTATTCTCTTATCACCCTTTGTATGTCTGTGTTATCAGTTGAAATTTTCCTCTTTTATTTCTGATATTATTTATTTGGGCACTCTTTTTCTTGACAAGTCTAGCTAATGGTTTATTAATAGTTTTCTTTACCTTTTCGAAGAACCAGCTCTCAGTTTCATTGATCTTTTCTCTGTTTTTTAGTCTCTATATTATTTATTTATTATCTGATCATTATTTTCTTTCTTCTAATAACTTTGGGCCTTGTTTGTTATTTTTCCAGTTAACTTAGATGTCAAGTTAGATTGTTACTTGGGATTTTTCTTATTTCTTGAGGTAGGCCCATGTTACTGTGAACTTCCTTCTTAGAACTTCTTTTGCTGTGTCCCAAAGATTTTGGGGTAGTTGTGTTTTTATTTTCATTTGTCTCAAGGTATTTTTTTAATTTCTTTTTTGGCTCATTGGCTGTTTAATAGCATGTTGTTTATTTTCTACGTGTTTGTGTTTTTTCTAGTTTTTTTTTTGTAATTGATTTCTTGTTGCATACATTTATGGTCAGAAAAGATGCTTGATATGATTTCTGTTTTTAAAAATTTATTGAGACTTCTTTTGTGGCCTGACATGATCTATCCTGGAGAATGTTCCATGTGCATTTGAAAAAAATGTGTATTCTGCCGCTGTTGGATAGAATGTTTTATATATATCAATTAAGCTTATCTTGTCCATTTAAGTCTAATGTTTCCATATTGATTTTTTTTGTCTGGGTGATCTATCCATTGAGGAAAGTGGAATATTAAAGTCCCCTACAATTTTATTGCTGTTAATTTCCCCCTTTATTTCTGTTAATATTTGGTTTGTATATTTAGGTGCTTCTATGTTGGGTGCATAAGTACTTACAAATGTTACATCCTCTTGTTGGATTGACACCTCCCCCCCTTATTTTTTATTGATCAAGATTAGGTGACATTTCTATTTGTACAGTGAGAATGGGATAGGGTTAGACCAAATGATCCTGCTTCTGGACTGAGGGTGGGACAAGCTTACTTTAAAGCATATGGTTGCATGGGGAAGGTATCTGCATGTCTATCAACTTGAGGTTCTGTTAAGAAAGGTGAATAAGGAATGGATGTCAGGGAGGTAGCCAACCATCTCTAATACATCTGATTGATTGGAGGCCCAATCAGATGAAGTTTATTTTTCAGTGGTTGTGAGAAGCTGCTCTTTTTTGCCTTTAAATAAAAATGAAGATGCATGGCATCTTTTAAATGGCACAGCATCATTTCCACCATATTGTAGATCAAACCAGTCAAGGCCTGCCTTGATTCAATGGAGAATAGTCCAATGACATAATCTTATCTTAATTCACTGAAATTTGCAGTTGTTACAGCAGTTAGTTTATCCTGCCACTACACATAATATTGCATAAGCTGAGGGAATCACCCTCTTGTCTCCAGGATTAACAGTAATACCTTTTTCCAGTTTGAGTAAGGAACCGTACCTTATAAATGAGGATATCATTATTTCAAACAGGATATTTAGTCCTAGGTGCAAGGAGGTAGCTGCTATGTGTATTCCCAAGGCCATTTGGTGCACCATGTTTCCAGTTGAAGGTTTGGCTCAAGTTCCAATGGGAAATAAATACATTTCAGGCAATGTCATGGAGCAAGCAGAACTGCTCACCTCCAAGATATCTGGTTGGTTCAGGTCAGGTATCCACCTCAAATCCTTGGTTCTATACTGTAAACTTAACAATCTTATTTCAAATGCCAAGGTATTTTACAAATGAGCTTATCCCTAATTTCAAGGATAGCATATGGTCAGATGAATTTTATATATTGCATTATTGGTAAGCGTCCCTCAGATTCTTAGAGCCCTTGCTGTTTACCTATTTTTGCAAGGCCCATTCCAAATCATTTGCATGGTAATTATATATTGGTCAGGCGTATAGTCTCACACTTCTACCTTCTAAGAGTCTTGTTTCTGCTCAGGGGCCAAAAGCTTATATCAAGAATAGTTTGAAGCAAAAACTTAGGTGCTAACATGTTATTAGTTAAGTACAGTTCTAGGGAAACAAAACTGATGCAAGAGGGAAGTGAGGCAGGAAAGGAGAGCAAATATATGGAAGCACTGTCCATTATTGCACTACTGAATGCTAACATGCCGGCAGCAGAGACCTGAGTATGCCTTTTCCTTAGAAATTCCAGCCCGCCTCCAGGTAGAAGTTGGATATGTTCCATCTTGGAGAGGGTTGTGATTCTGGATCAGAGTTTGCCTTTTCTGCCCGCAGGTTCTCTTCTAGCTTCATCAATTGAGGGTTCACAGAATGTCTCGCCTATGACAACATTGTTTTGAAATAAGGAATCCATTTTATAGCAAAGATGGCGAGACAGTGGGTGAAACAACTAAATGTTTACAGATGCTACTTACCATGCACCTTATGAGAAGCAGCTGTCCTGATTGAACGGCGTGATGGCCTATTGAAAACTCCAGTAAGACACGGCCTTAGGCTCAACATTCTCAGGTTTAGGTGCAGATCTCCCTTATAGGTACATGAGCTGAACCAACAGATGATTTACAATGGTGTGCTCATTAGCTAGAAAACATGGGCCCAGGAACTAACGGGAGAAAGTAGAATTGGGTCTCTTACCATCATAGCTAAAAACACTTGTAGAATTTGTGCTCACTGTTTCAACAACTTTAGGCTCTTATGGCTTCCAGGGTGGGAAGATGTTGACTGTGGCAACTGTCTTACAATCTTGGGCTCTTCATACCAGTGAACTTGCAGGCAAAGAATAAACATAGCTATTTACCATGAGCATCTCAGGTTCCTGCTACACAGTAGAGGCAGGAATTTATTTGAAACCTGAGATCTTACTGGGACATCTCTGGTTACTCTTGTCCTTTTTATGACTGCAAATGGTTAATTTCATCAAACATGGCTGTTAACCAGATTAACTGAAATTCTGGTCAAGAGTGTGGGAAATAGATAATAGGTGTAGAGGAGGAAGACAATGGGCCTCCATTATAGCTTGGACCAGCTGTGTCATCAAGGACTATAGCTTGGTTTGCTGACCATTTTAAAGTTTTTTTGAGGAGGTTAAAGTGTCCACTACCTTGACAGATTGGTCATTGCATCTCTCCTAACAGGGAATAAGAGAGGATATTTAGTCCCAGATATAATAAGGGGGTGCAAGTGGCTCTGAATCCAGCAAGGGCTGAACTGATTGGATTTACTTTATGCACCATGCAGAGATGCACACGTGCATTGTGTTCTGGCCAGGGTGGCCCTAGCAATAGCTTGTGCTATTAAGTGGTTTGGGGAGATAGTTGCTGCTGTCTTCCTTGTGCCTACAGACTGAAGGCCTCATTGCTGTGGCTTCAGCTCCTAGTTCAATTCTACTGTAGTCAGAGAACATGCTTTTTATGCTTTCGGTTTTTGAATGTGATGACGCTTTCAGGTACAGTATGGAGTCTAGTTTTATAAATGACACGTGCGCTTGAAAAATGTATATTCTGAAGTTTTGGGGAGCAGTGATCTATGTATATCAATTAAGTTAAATATATAAATCATGTTTTCCAAGTCTTATGTATGCCCACTGATTTTTTTTTTGACTGTTTGTTAAATCAGTTAGAGAGATATGTTTAAAATCTTCCTCTGTAATTGTGGATTTGCTTATTTCTCCTTTAAGTTCACTTGGGTTTTTAATTTGTATATATTGAGGCTGGTTATTAAGCAAATAAACATTTAGGATTATTATAGCCTCTTGTGGTCTTGATACTTTTATCATTATGAAATGTCCCTATTTATGTCTCTCTGATAGTTCTTGCAGTAGTAGCTATTTTCTCTGATGTTAATATTTCTACTTAGCTATCTTAACAGTTTAACTTATTTTCCTTTTTGCCTGTTTTTAGATTTAGTCAAGTGTTTTTTTCATTATTCTATTTCCCCCTTCTCTTAGTTGTTAGTTACAAGTTTTACATTTGATCAGCCCTTTAGTGAATACCCTAAGATGGAGACATGCAGCTTTTATTAATGTTTCTTATACAACTCACCTATATTTTATCAGCAATACAACACCACAGTGTGTATGTGTAAGAAGATTCTACAGATAGATGCAAATATCTGACTTTATCAGTCTTATACATTTCATAATGAAAAAATTATAAATCAGCTGCCCTTTATTTCTTAACGTTGGAGCTCTCCGCGTATATTGATGTAAAAATCACATGTGCAGGTACGTGATATTACCTACTAATTTTAGCTCAAGATAATTATCCCATTTCAGGATTTTTATTATAAGCAGGTTTGAGAACAATTTGCGTAGAATCACAATGTTTGCTAAGATTGGTTTCAACACGGATAAGACCCAACACAAAGAAGGCTTTTGATTACTACTTCTATTATTTTTTAAAAGTTATTGCTGCAGAAAGCCGCTTTAGACCCTGAGCGTCGACCCTCCCTTGGCGGGAACCTTTGGGCTCCGAGTTGGAGGCGCTCCCAGGCAGCTCCGGTCAGGATCCCGGCCGGAACCTTGGCGCGGTGACGCCGGTTTCCGGCGGGCTGCTTAGAGCAGTGAACAGCGTTGGGCCGGAGGACCATGAGAGGGCCGGAGCCGGGTCCCGAACCTACGATGGAGGGGGACGTGCTGGACACCCTAGAAGCGCTGGGGTGAGTATTCCTAGGGACGCCCTTCCCCCGAAACCGCAAGCTCTTGCTCGGCCTGGCGGCTGCAGTCTCCACGCTGTGGGCCTCGCTGGGCTCCGGCAGCTCCGTGCAGGCCTCCCTCCCCGCCTCGCTCCCTCCGGCGCCGACGGAGTTAAGAGGGAGGCGGGAAAGAAAGCCGTTTGGGGGCTTGGGGGTGGAGTAAGGCCGGAGAGCTGGGGCGCGTGGCCCCCTCTTCCAAACCCCTGGCTTGGGAACTCCGCAGCCGGCACTCGCGGCCGGGGCGAAGGGGCCGGGCTGCGGGGAGCACGGTCCTACCCCGAGGGCGATGTTTTTATTTACAAAGTTGCGGCGCCTGGGGGGAGGTGCCGGAACCGGCCCTGCCGCCGGAGACCGGTCTCCTAAGGTGTACAACCTGTGGCTTAATTAGGGCTCACCCGTGGCTTAATTTTACCTCAGGAGCGAATCTCTCCTGCTTTCCTGATTGTAGAAAATATTTTATAGTTCAGTCCATTCATTCAGCCATTTCCTCCGTTCGTTAACAGCTTGTCTACTTGTTGTTATTGTATTCATTAATGCATATTCATGTGCTAGGCAGAGGAAAAGACAGTTTCAGATTACTAGTAGTTTACAAAGTTGTGGGGGCTACTAAGTGTACTGGTATTTACAATTCAGAGTGGTAAGCGCTATGAGAACTCCTGGGATTGTGCTGATACTTCCAGGCACGGGGAGCAGTGTATGCAACATAGCCTCCCTCAGCCTTAACCTGTTTTTCTTTACAGCTGTTACTCCTTTCCCGAATTATCTTGACCTGCACATTGTGTCTTGAATGCCCCTGTTCCCATCCCCAGTCAGCTGCAGGAAAACAAGTGCCTTACTAGTTCTTGTTCCCAACACCATCCTGCAGTGGTGTCTGGGACAATATAAGGTGGTGGAATGAATGGGTGAATGAATGAAGAAGAGTTCAGAGAAGAGCGTGCACAGAGATAAGCACAGGGGTAGGTAGTTGAGAGTCAAAAAATACACGTTAAAGAGATTGGAGCCATCTGCACAATTGTTTGCCTTGCCACATGTTGGAGTTTCATGATTAGGCTGTGCCTTTGCAGTGCTATTATGAAGATTGAAACCCCCCACTCCCTTTATCTTTCCCTGAAGCTGCACTTGCTCCTCTATCAATTAATTACTTCTTTTGGACCCCGAGAATATCTACTTTGCATTGATTCAGTGTTGGAGAGCCTCACACTTAGTAGATCCTGAATAAATGTTTGCCAAATGAAAGAACAGAGCCAGTGGTTATTTTGGGAGCATTTTTTACTTCTGTGAAACCCCTTAGAAATTTTCACTTAACTTGGTTAAGGAAGTAACCATAACGAGAAGTTAAAATTCTTGAGGTGTTAGGCCTCAAACAGTTTGAATTCCCAAGTACTCCAGGTAAGAATAGTGGGATTCTGTAAAAATTTTGTGGAAAACGGAAACTCAGTCCTTTTTTCCTTCTTTTTTTATTCCTTGGGTTTGTTTATATTATAGGTGTTTGAAAAATGAAGTTGTTATAATCTTGACTTTTTTTAAGGAAAATTAGTTTCAGAGTATTCAATATAGAGAGTAAAAATTTACACAGGTTAGAGTTGATATTTCCTGGAATAGCTGAAGACAAGATTTTGAAGTTTTAATTTTCCTATAATGGTAATGAAATGTAGAAAAAGTACTGTAGTTGTTTACTTACAATAGGTGTTGTAATTTAACAGTGTTTTAAAATGCTATCTATGTAGATTGTGAATAATGCATTTTTATTGTGATTAAAACGTGAGATCATGAAGGTTCTTTAGTTTGTCAGATAGAGTAAGTTAAAGGGAGGAATTAAAAGTGGACATTTGTGTGAAAGAACAATTCAGTGATGCAGTCTGTTATAAATGAAAACAGGGTAGAAATAACTAAGTTTCCTCATGTGTGAAAGGACAGGTGATTTCAGAAGTCTCTTTTAGTTCTGAGAGTGTCTGATTTTGTAGAACAGTGGATCTCAACCTTGACCATGCATCAAAATCATGTATGGAGCTTGTAAAAAAATGTCCCAGTCTTGTATATACCACAACCTGAGTGAATCGTGATCTCTTTTTGGGATGCAGTATAAGCATGCATTTTAAAAAAAGCTTCACAGCCTAGGTTGTGAACCACCATTATGGAGAGAAGTTTATTTCAAATATTTATTGAGCATAACTCTGTATTGGACACTTCTGAGAAGTCAGTGGTGGTCAAAATAGACTTGTTCCCTGTCCTTGTGGAGCTACAGTCTGGCAGAGAAACAGACATGATCACACAGATATTTATTAACTCTAATAAGTGCTTTAAAGGAAAAACGCAGGATGACATAACATGACAGGAGGACCCATGTAGTCTTAGGGGTTAGTGGTAGATTTCTGAGGAAGTGGCCTTTGAGTTGAAATAGGAAGGGTGAATAGGAGTTAACTAGGTGAGGTTGGATGGGAAAGGAGGCCAAAAGTGTCCTTATGGTGAGGACGCAGTATGAAAGACCTTGACATGGAAAGGAACATGCTGTGCTAGAACTAGAAGGAGGCTAAGTGGTGGGAGGGCAGAGAGCAGAGGCCAGAGTGGTGGGTGGAAGATTGGATTGGAGAGTTAGGTGAAGACCAGGGCATACAGCACCTTTTGGGCTGTGTTGTAGATTTTATTCTTTGTCATAACAGCAGTTATGGGGGGACATGACTGAGGGATTTTAAATTAAAAAAGGGAGTGGTTAGATGTCTAGTTTGAAGTTATCTCTGTCAGCAAGGTGAAGAGTGGATTGGAGAATTTAGTTAGTGGATTTAGAATTTAGAAGTGATGGTTGCTTATTGGCAGTGGATGTGGAAAGAAGTGCATTACAGGACTTAGTGATTGATCAGATGTTAGAGCTGAAGGAGATGATGGTATCAAGGATTCATTTCTGCAATAGGTATGTATTTAGCACCAAAATGAAATATGTGTTAGAATCTAAATTGAATAGGGAAGAAAGTGAAAACAGCAGGGAGCCAGTAAATAGAGAATGTGGAGGAACCAGTGGAATGGAGGTAGAGATGATATTAAAGAATGTTGTCATTGTAGGTGATTGACTGGTCAAAAGATCAAGCTGAAAGGATAGATAGTAGGTTGTGGTTGGGGAGTGACATATTTGAATTAATGATTTCCAAGGTGATAGCAAGGTCTAGGGGGTGGCTTACTGACATGCAGCAGCAAAGGGTGGAAAAGAGGAAGTTAGGGAATTGAGAGCTCAGGATACCGGATAGGGTATACATATGGACTTTGAAGAAACTTAATATAATGGCAGAAATGGGATGGAAAGGAAAAGTGACCACAGGGAATATTGGGGAATATCGAGGAATATCCAAGAGATTGGTAGATGAAAATCACAAGAGAGAAAGGGTGGCAAATATGACTGCCTTGAGCCTGGAGAGAGCAGGAGATGCTTATAAGAAAATGGGGGAGTAATGATATGGATGTTATACTGGGAAGCAAGGAGGGCATACCCTACCCTCTTGATTGAGAGGATAAACTAGCCAAAGCTAGAGGTGGTAGAGATAATCTTCCTGAGAAGAGAGTGACAATATAGGAGAGTTGTTGTTTATGGATGGAACATTGTGGAAGAATTTGGGAAGCGGAGAAGTGGAGAGCTGGACCAGAGGCAAGCCAATAGGGTAGGCAAATGATGGGAAAGGATCTCATATTTTATATGTTGGCAAATAAAAATAGAAAACAAAGTAAATTAGGCCCTGGCTGCGTCTTTGTGGCGGTTTGCCAGTGGCCCTACAAGACTGAAGATTGAATCACGCAGTTTGAAGTGTCAGACCAGCAGGTATCTCTGATGTTTGGAATAAGAGTAGCACTTTCCTAATTAAATAAGAATATATAGAACAAACTTAGGGCATAATAATACACCCTTCAGGACATTATGGCAATTAAATAAGGTAATACATGTAAAGCACATAGCACTGGCCTACCATAAGAGCAGTTTATAAATTTTAGTTGTATTATGATTATGATTGTTATTAGATGTTAGGTTTATTAAATGCATTTCTTTTTCTTTTTATCCGACTTGATGAACCTGAGGCATTAAGGATTGTAGGGTTTTCTCCCTCTAAATTCTTTATTTCTCGTGATTTAATCAGTTTTGTTGAATTATGGTTGGCATTTGAGTGAAAATAACTTATCACCAACTGTATGAATCAGATAAATTTATTCAAGGGTTTATGATTATTGCAGAAATGCAGGCAAGTAGGGGGAAATAAGATGTTTATGATTAAATCTCAGTGAGAGGCACTGTAAGACATGGAGGAAATGTAACTGCATAAGAGGAACCAAGTCTGGGCTAGAGGAGCAAAGACAGTGGTCTAGTCTCAGCTCTGCCTTTACCTGGCAGCATAACCTGGCCAGGGTATTTGCTTAGTTTCCTTATTAGTGTAGACAGAAGTTTAACAGTTCACATGGAACATTTGGGGTCAAATCTGGGTTTAAATCAGCATGTCATCATCTAGTTATTTTCTGATCCAGAATTAGGATAATGCTAACTTCACATTATTGCTGTAAACACTAATGAATTATAAATAAATATATTTATAAATATAAATACATATATATATGTATGATATATGTATATATATATGACTAGCACTGTGCCTGGCCTATTTCTTAAAGCATGTATCCTAACCTCATTAACCCTTAATTTCTTACTTGTAAAATGGGGATTTGAAAATATACTTCATGAGATATGACCAGAGAATTCAGAGAGAAAGAAATGCAAATGGCTTATAAACATGAAAACATGTACAACATTGCTCATAAGAGAAATGTAAATGAAAACTATACTGAGATACCAGTTGGTCAAAAATCCAAATGTTTGACAACAGTGGTGAACTATGAGAACCCCTGTAGAGGAAAATATTATAATATCTAGCAAAGTTACATATCCACTTACCCTTTGACCTAACAGTCCCACCTCTCGGAATCTATCCCAGATATATACTGGCAAAAATCTGCCAGTTTTTTGTAATGACAAAACACTGTACTAACCCAAATGTCCTTCAGTGGGGGCATAGTGAATAAACTATGGTGCATCCAGACAGTGGAGTATTATACAACAATAAAAATGATTGAGTAGTATTTCTACTTATCTCTAGTATATGTAAATATGTGTGTGTGTGAACGTATACGTGTTTAAAGCAAGGAATAGGACAGTATATAGTAGGCTACCTTTTATCTAAAAAAGGAAAAGTATATATATTTATGTTTGTATTTAAAAACACTGTGGAATGACATCCCAAAACAAATATGGTTACCTTTAGGGGAGGGTGGCAACAGAGTACAGGGAACACGATTAAGGTTGTAAACTAGATTTGTCTGAATGTACCTTGTTTTGTAAATTAGATTTTGAAACCATATAAATGCCTTACATAATTATAAAGCAAAATTAAAAATGAAACAAAAAGACACAAATCCCTAAAAATTAAAAGCAAAATGAAACAAAGGTCTGTCATTATATTGAGTATGTGGTTTAATCACATGGAAAGGAATTTTTAAAAATACATCTTTACTGGAATATATTCTTAAAGATAAAAACATCAATTGTTTTCATTGATTTTATTGCTAGTAAAAATGCTGATTTTCCTACTCTGAAACTATGTGCCATTTTATATTTTTACTAGGAAATAAATAAAATTAGATAAAAACCACAACTTTAGAGAAGATAGATAAAAATATAAAACAAATTAAGTAAAACTCCCACAATTCTAAGTTTGAATTGGAAATACCAGTGTGAACTCCTGATGTAATTTCTCTTAAAAAGGTACAGATACAGTGACTAACCTTTAGTATCAGGTTGTGTACTCTAAATACCATTAAAAAGAATCAGGGCTTCTTGGAGAAATGGCCAGTTACAGGCATAGGACAGGAACGCCTTGTCAAAGAAATCAAGGAAAGTATTCAAAGAATACTGGGGATAAGTCAAACACGAATTGCCTCCACTAACCAAAGATAGGACTGTATGAAAAGAAAAATAACTGCAGTGGATTAAAACTCATCAAATATGTTAAAAATCTATAAGTTTATAATGTGAAAAAAAGTTCAGTTGCAGAAAGAGCAATAAAATTAGAAAACTGGTATCTAATTCAATTAAGATAATATATACGATGATTAAAAATTTTAAGGTTCTATTCAAATACACTTTGTAGCAGTGTTTGAAAGTATAAAATTATAAAATAAATGGTTTAGGTTAAAATGATCTCATAGGGCTTTTTCAACTTTAATTTTTTAAATTTAAAATTTGCATCTGTTTTGTCACTACTTCCTTTTTTCATATTCTTGTAGCTAGTATAATTATTAGACCTAGCTCTATTTGACTTTGTTATATGTAATATTTCTCTAAAAAGTGGTTGATAATTTTACTAAAAAATGTTAAAATATAGGAAAAAAGCCAAATGTTAATTATATAGAGCAGGAATCAACAAACCATTTCTATAACAGACCAGACAGTAAAAAATTTTAGGCTTTGCTGGCCATACTATCTCTGTCACAACTATTGAACTCTGCCATTGCAGTGTGAAATCTGCCAGAGACAGTCTGTAAATGGATACATTTATCAGCTGTGCTCCACTAAAACATTATTTACAAAAACAGGCAGTAGGCTGTGATAAAGAATGCAAGGGTTTTTTGTGTGTGTGTGTTTTAACTTTTTATGTCTTTCTTTCTAGGTATAAGGGACCACTGTTAGAAGAGCAAGCCCTTTCCAAGGCAGCTGAGGGTGGACTATCTTCACCTGAATTTTCAGAGCTCTGTGTTTGGTTAGGCTCTCAGATAAAATCACTGTGCAACTTGGAAGAAAGTATCACTTCAGCTGGTATTGGCCTTGTGTTTTATTTTTTGTTTAGTAGTAAAATGAAATGATAGCTTATGATTTACAGTTTTATCTACAAAGTGCCTACTGTTCAAAGAAGAATCATCAATATGAAGAACTTTAGTATATTAAATATCTTTGAATTAAATGCTGTATTAATCCAAAATTTGTTCTTAAATTTGTATAAGATTATAAACAATTACTGTTGATCCTGTCTTAACCTTAGTATTTTTTAGAAAAAGTAGACTCTGAATTTGGTTATTTAAAAAGTTTAATTTTTGAATACTGCTTATTTTGAATAAGGTGTTTGTTTTTTTACGTACATGTAATCCCAAATTTAAATTGTATTACAAAGCCTGTAACTCAAGACATGGATTCACACAGGAATGCTCTTATAAAATATTCCTATACTAGCTCATAAAGTTTTAATTCATAACTATCTTGGTAACTGGAGTCTTTGTGGGTCTTTGGTAGAATTTCAGGTAGTATAATAAAATGAAAAAAAAAAAATATTGGGCATTTGCTAGGGGACCATGTAGACTTCCCTTTTGAAGCTATCCTTTTAAATTACTTTTTTTCTTGCCAAATCTAATAGAATTCACTTGAAGCTAAGATTAACTAAATTCAAAACATATGACACAGGCTCCCATATAACTAGGTTATGAAAGATAAGCAGTGAGGCTTAATTAGATGATTGCATTTATTATCTGAATCCATACAAATATAATAGAAATGGATCACTTGCTCTGAAACCAGTTAATAATTATAGCCATAATAATTCTTTTAATATTTTGGTTACTAATACAAAATATTTTCATTTTATCTGCTTTTATGGAATGTACATTGGAAAATACTTACCGGATTTAAATATAAAAATATTTCTAATCTCATGGTTACATATTTAGATTCTTAAATCGATACTTATGATTCTGAATTTAAGTGTTACTTTCTAAATGTAGAAATTGGTTACCTTTATCTAAGCTTTGGGGTCACACATGTAAGGATTTAATGTCAGAGAAAACTTAGAATTGAATGTAAAATTGAAATGAACTAGTGGTAGATTTTATAGTATCAGATTATATGGTAAATATTCAGTAAATGTTTTATGATTTTTCTTTTTTAAAGGAAAAGATGATCTAGAAAGCTTCCAGCTTGAGATAAGTGGTTTTTTAAAAGAAATGGCATGTCCATATTCTGTACTAATATCAGGAGATATTAAAGACCGTTTAAAAAAGAAGGATGACTGCTTGAAACTTCTTTGTAAGTCCTTTCTTGGAACATTTAAATGCATGTGTTTGATCTGGTTTTTATTATTTTCAAGTCAAAATTTATGAAATTTTATTATTGAAGCATTAGATATCTTGTATATTTAAAAGTTTTTAATATTTGACCTAACTGGGGGTGGGTTCAGGGTAGAAGGGGTCCATGGGGGGGAAAAAAGGGGACATCTGTAATACTTTAAAGATAAATTTAAAAAAATTTGACTTCAAATATGAAGCTGACTCAGAGATATTTATATAAATGTAGTATAAATTCTACTAATGTACTCGCTAAGATTTCTAATGCTTATGATTTATTTGGCCAATGTAGAATTCCCTGTGTTTGTGCTTTATATAGTATTTTAGTAGTTTTTCCTTCACTTAATTCATCTCTTAGCATTTATGACTACATTGCTAAAGTTGGTGATCTCTAAAGTCCTATTTAATCCTAAAACTCTTTGAAACTAGGCTACTAAGCTGATTATTAGATCTTATTTTAGTGGTAGGCACTGAATGATAGAGGGTTCAAAAATATTTATTGACCACTTACTGTTTTACCAGAAACTATTTTAGGCATTTGGGATATATCAGTTGAAAAAAAATTACAGCTTTGAACCACTGGACTTCTAGTGAGTGTGGCCTATTTTTTATATTTTTAAGTTTTTATTTATTTATTTTCAAGAGAGAGACAGAGGCAGATTTGTTGTTCCACTTATTTATGTATTCCTTGGTTAATTCATATTTGCACCCTGACCAGGGATGGGACCCGCAACCTTGGGGTATCGGGATGACGCTCTAACCAGCTGAGCTGTCTGGCCTGGGCAGGTGTTGCCTGTTTTCATCAGGGGTTAATTTGGAGTAAAATTACCCTATATCCAAACAATTATCATAAATAAGAATCCATTTATTTGTATTGGGTTTCTTAAAACATTTTTTTAGTTCAGTTAAATTTTAATCTCTTGAAAGTTCTGCAAACTGACCATTTGAAAGAATTTTTCTAACATCTATTATTGAAGATTTCTGTTGTTTTAGGTTGACCATTTATTAAAAGATCCATGTGATATATTCCTCCTAGACTCTAGTGTTAGTAATGTTTGTTTCACTGGAGCAGAAATTGCCTATATGTGTTTAACTATCGATGATGATAGAGAAGTGTTGATGTTTGAATTACCTTGTGTGTGTTGGGTGGGGGGAATAGCAATTATGTCTCGCCTCCCCCTCATTTCTTATACTGTTTCCTCATCTTCCTTCCACTGAGTATGAGTCACTGATTTAGTGAACCATTGTTATTAATGGGAGGTCATAATAACCCTTCGGTATATTGAGGCAGAAAGGAAGCTAAGAAGTACGGCCTAGAGGAACATGCATATTCTTTATGTCCATCAGTGAGAACTATGTAATTTCCTCATGTTTCCCTGTTTGCCTTTACTGTGAAGAAACTCCGCAATAGTAGTAAGATACGCTTCTGATGCAAGTAAAAATAAAGAGGAGATACAAGAAAAGTTGGTATAGTTTTTTCTGATTATGAAAATACATGCTTGGGAGGCGGGTTAAGATGGGGAGTTAGTGTTAAATGAGTACAGAGTTTTCACTGGGGAAGATGAAAAAGTTCTGGAGATGGGTGGTGGTGATGGTTTCACAACAGTGTGAATGTACTTAATGCCACTGTATGCTTAAAAATAGAATGGTAAATTTTATGTTATGATATATGTTAAGAAATTGCATGCTCATCATAGAAATTTTACAAAGTAGATAAAATTGTGAAGAACAAAATCATTTATAATCTCACTTCCCAGAGAGAATCATGAATAACTTTTTGGTATATTTCCTTTTCCTTCTCTTTTTCTTTTGTACACACACAGTTAAATAAGATTAAGATCTTGTTACAGATGCAGTTCCTTCTCTTCTTCCTCTTCATTTAATATAATGTGAACATTTCCCCATAACTTAATATTTAAAAACAATTTAAGTTGGCTACATAACATTCTATGCTATGGACATAACATTTTTATTAAATAGATTTCAAATTTGGGGGTATTTGGGTTTTTCCTGTTTTACATTAATTTCTCTGTTTATAAATTTGGAGTGCTTTTACTTAGATTATAAACATTAAAAAAAAAATCTCGCCCTGGCCAGTTTGGCTCAGTGGTTAGAGTATCGGCCTGTGGACTGAGGGGGTCTCGGTTTCGATTCCTGGTCCAGGGCACATACCTTGGTTGCAGGCTCAATCTGCAGCCCTGGTCAGGCAGCCAGTCAGTGTCTCACATCGATGTTTCTTCCTCTCTCCCCTTCCCCCCCCTTCCACTCTAAGAAAAATCAATGGGAAAAAAAAACTCTGGTCTAGGTATATATTGCCGTATTTTGCTCCAGAAAGGTTATACCAGTTCACAATTTTACCGGCATCTATTCCATCTTATCTTTGGTTTCACTGTCTTGAAAACCTGAATAGGAAGCTTCTTCATCATCATCTTGAAAGTATTTGCAACATGTATAAAATATAAAGGGCCAAAATCCTTACTATGTGGAGAGCTTTTGTAAATCAAGAAGAAAAAAAAAATTCACTGGAGAAATATATAAAAGCATATAAGACAAGAAAAAGGCATTCTACAGAAAAAATATTGTTTTAAAATTTCTTTTACACATGAAAAGATGCAGTATCCCTCAAAGCTAAAGATTTATAAAAAATAAAATGATAGGGTACCATTCTTTTTCACTTACCAGGCTAGCAATACCAAACAAAAAAAATTTTTTTAATCCATAATAGAGTTTGGGGGAGTAAGCATTCTCATATACTATAGGCATTAGAGTGTGGTGGGAAAATAACTGGTACAACCTTTGGAAGGCAAATTATTAATACCACAATTGAAATTCACCTGCCTTTTAGCTTGGCACTGCCATGACTAGGAATACATATTTATTTCCCCAAGTGTACAAAGATACATGAAAAGGATGTTCCCTATGGCATTGTTTGTAGTAGTTAAGTAGCAATGGTACATCTTTGTAATGATACACATCTTTGGAATGACAACCGTTTTATAGCTGTTAGAGTGAAAACAGATCAAATGTGTTGATATGGAATGACCTGTGAGTTATATTGGTAAGGAGGAAATGAATATACAGAACATGTGTATTATGGCTTGTAGAAAAGAAAGAAAAGTGCATAGATGGTAGATATGTGTACTAAATATACATACACATATACACCTAAAAAGATAGCTGAGAAACGAATAATGGTGATTTCCTCAGGGGAAGTGGAATCTGAGGATCTGTGGTGGGAAGACGACTTTTCACTGTATTGTTTACCATCTGAATGGATTAGTATTTTAAATACTAGACTGAACTCTTGTTAGTACTATTACATAGAGCATGTTTCCATAGAACAAAGGCAGACTTCAGCCAAGGTTCTATCCAAAATATAAATTTTTAGAGGGACCTTGGCATTGTTTTCATAAGCAAAGTTTAATACTTACTGGACTTAACTTTTTGTGGGCTCTTTGGACTGTCTGACATGTAGATTGCATGGAAAAGTCTTTAAATCAGTGGCTCTTAATTCTGCCTGCCCATGAAAAATCACCTCAGGTGTAAAACCACACAGATGCCCTACTCCTACTTCAGATCTGGCTCAGAATCTCTGAGGGTGGGATCCTGACACTTGTACTTTTAAAGTTTTTCAGATATTTCTTCTCAGCTAAAGTTGAAATTACTGTATTAAATTGTGCTGTGTGTGTGTGTGTGTGTAACTTTAAGCAAATAAAAACAAGCAAAACCCCAATATTTTAACTACTGGAGTGAAAGTTAATTTAAAATAAGACTATAACCATCTAAGATTTTGAGTAATTTTCTTAAATATGCCTGTTGAAAGGATTAAATGAAATTGTGACAGTAAAGGGATGGTCTATCCTGGCAAATAATTACTCAGATTACTCTATCTGCTTATAGATTAGTTAGAGCTGTACATTCTCCCCTGGCTTGAGCACTCTGTGCATATGAAAGAGAATATTTTATCAGAGTCTTACATATTTTTATACATTATTTTCTTTTTAAATGTGTCTTTATTGATTTTAGAGAGAGGAAGGGAGAGAGGGAGAGAGAGAGAGAAACATCGATGATGAGTCATTGATTGGCTGCCTCCTGCACCCCTTACTGGGGATCGAGCCCAAAACCTGGGCATGTGCCCTGACCGGGAATCAAACCTTGATTTCCTGGATCATAGGTTCATCCTCAACCGCTGAGCCACGCTGGCTGGGCTATACATTCTTAAATTATTGATTCACTGGTGTGTCTCTCTTACTGGACTTTAAACTCTATGGGTAGGCACTGTCTTTTTTTTGGTTCCTCCCACCTTCTTTTTATTATTTTATACATTTTTTGTGATAAGAACACAGCATAAGATCTATCATCTTAGCAAATTTTTAAGTATTTAAAAATTACAGTACAGTATTGTTAACTATAGGCACTGTGTTATAAAGTAGTGTATCTCTATGATTTACCTTGTATAACATCAATATGTATCCAACTTGGCTTATGGGGACTATGTCAAGGTCCCTCTGATTTTAAAACTTCATTAAATCATCAGTTCTTAAAAAATTTATATTTGACTAATAACTTCCTATTTCTCCCTTCCCCCAGCAACCATCATTCTACTTTTTGCTTTGTGAGCTTGACAGTTCTAGATTTCCCATCAAAGTGATATATAGTATTTGTGCTCCTGTGTCTGGCTTTTTTCACTTTGCACAATGTCCACCAGGTTCATCCATGTTGTTACAGATTGCTGTATTTCCTTCTTTTTAACAGCTGAAAAATACTCCATTGTGTGTGTATACCACATTTTCTTTATCCATTCATCTGTTAAAGAATGCATAGGTTGTTTCTATATCCTCAGAATTGTGAACAATATGGCCGTGAACAGGGTAGTGCAGATCTCTTTGAGATCCTAATTTCAATTCCTTTTATATGTACCCAGAAGTGGGATTTTTAAGGAGTTTGTGTACATTTTAACATTATTTGTTTTTTCCTTTTCTTTTAGTATTTTTAAGTACAGAGCTCCAAGCTTTACAGATTTTACAGAACAAGAAAGGTAAAAATTCTCAATTAGATAAAAATAGTGAAATTTATCAGGAAGTTCAAGCTATCTGTGATACCCTTGGTGTTCCCAAGTCAACAACTTCTGACATTCCACTTATGTTGAACCAAGTGGAGTCAAAGGTATTTGTTTTTTTTCCTTTCTTCAGAATTCAAATAAGTGCTAACATGTAAATGTTTTATTAAAAATGAAAATATTTCCTTTAAGTATAAGATATATATTTCATTTCAAGAGAAGTTTATCTTCATGAAAACTAAACTTTGGATTTGGAGTTAATATGCATGTGACCTAATCTGCCTGTAGTTAATACTCAGGCTTTGTGAGAGTTGTGTAATAGAAATCTCTTTGCAAATTTAAGGATTCCTTTCCTAAACAGGGTTGAAAGACAGTATAATGAAACAAGTAGTTATCCTATAAGGTCAAAGGCAAACTAAATTTTTTAATGGATATTGTTAATAGAATTGCAATGTGGTTGTCATTGGCAGCACAGTTTCTGGTGAATAAGTGTTTGTTGTAGAGTGAATGAATGAATGAGCATCCTGATGGAGTAAAAACAACCACAAACTTTGGATTAGGAATGATTTGGGGTTGGCTAAAATGTCTGGGACTGTTTCAAAATGAGACAGATTTCTGGGCTTTTCCTGATAGCACTTTCATATATTCATTCCAAAAAGGCTTTTTCCTTTTATGGGCTTCAATTAATATTAAGTTTCCCCAAACCTCTTTTCCCTACTTAAAGCAGGCTATAATGCCTTTGCTCAAATGCTGGCAGGCTAGTTATAAGATGGTTGTTACTGGGGCCATTGTGGCCAAATATTTACCTAAAAGGACTTCCCTCTTCAGTCAGTACCTATCAAAAGCAAGTATTTTCTTTTATGTGTGATGTATGCAAGAGACTTTATCACCATTGGGAGAAAAATTATTTTCTGACTTGAAGCTGTTTAAGTGTGACTCTAAAGTAATTATAGTAATATTAATAACAAATATGTAGCATTTACTGTCCTAAATGTTTATATGTAACAACTCATTGAATTCTTAGGTCACCTATAATGAGGTAGGTACTATTATTATCTACAACAGCTGCATGAGGAAATTGAGGTACTAAAAGATTTAATAAATTATACAAGTTTCTAACTAGTAATGGTAGACTTGAGGTGGGAACCCAAGCAATCAACCTTCAGAGTCTATACTCTTAACTCCCTGATTATATAATTCTCAACCTTATTAAAACTGTTATCTAATGTTGAAATCCTGGGAATGTGATTACATGTAAGAAACTACAAGTATGCATTTAGAATCCCTCTTGAGTGAGGAATTACAACTAAAACTTTTAGTAATATATGAAATAATCAAATTGGAAGTATTTACAATAGTTGGGGAAGCTACAGAAAAGGTATATTTTAAGAAAATAAGTTAATTCTTTACAACATGTAAAAATTGTATCAGTAATTATTGTTGTAGAGGTAGATTTGCTGTGAAGCTAATAAAGCTTAAGCTTTGGGACCCCTCATTTACACAAGTTCTTTCTAAGCAAATTTTTTCAAAAGAGCTTTCTCAAGATACAATTCACATGCCATAAAATTCACCCTTTTAAAGTGTGCAGTTCAATGAACTTCAGTGTATTTTCAGAGTACAGCCATCATCAAATCTAAATTTAGAACATTTCTATTACCCTCAAAAGAAACCTTGTGCCCATTTATAGTCACTCCCCTTCACCACCACCAGTCTTCAAGCTACTTTTATGTTCATAATTTTTAATTCCTTAAAGAATGCCTCCCAACATTAAATAAGCTTCATGCCACCCAAAATATGAACTGCTCCTGATTGTTTTCCCTACTTACCTATAACTAAGAAACTGTAAATATTTCATTCCATTTTGAAATATTTTCTTTAGATAATGAAGGATTCTCCAATTAGGAGGATGAGTAACTTAGGCTATCATTTCTCGGTCATTTTATTCAGGATAAGTGACTGCTAGTTGAATGACCCCTGACATTGCTAAAGCAAAAGCGAATGCCTAATGTTGTTCATAAAGATAAAAGTGTTTCAGGTAATTTAAATCATTGGCTGTGCAAAAATAAATATGTATGTCGTGACTGTAAGTGAGAGGGTTTTGCTCTCCTGTGTTGTCTTGCTGAACAGTGAAATCAGAATACTTTCAATTGGAATGTGTACATAGTACCTAATTGAGAAAAATCTGTGTGATTATCAAAGGTGTCCTTTTTGAGAATATACCAGGATGTAAGAGAGTGCCATCTTAAGAAGAACTCCAAAGTTGTTTTGCATAAAATATACAATCCTCATTGCAAAACCTTTTAGTAGCTGCTTATCTACATACATTATTTCTTATTCTGGAAAAGAAGGTGTGTCATTGCTTGAAATAATATAGCTAATGCTCTTTGAAAAAGATATTTTGCCTTGTAATGATATTCTTTCCTAGTATATAAAGGTATATTTTAGTTATTTCACTTTAACATTTTATTTATTTTCTAGCATTAAAAATCACATTTTAAGAAAGAATAAGATTGTTTTAAATTAGGTAATATACATTTTCACAATCTTTTATATTTACTTGTAGGTGAAAGATATTCTCTCAAAAGTCCAGAAAAATCATGTGGGAAAACCACTGCTGAAAATTGATTTAAATCTGGATCAGGCAGTAAGTCCCCCTTACCCGCCTTTTATTAGTTTTGTTTAATTCATTTAGTGGATATGACTTAATTTTATAAATGGACATCTAGATTTTACAGTGTGTAGCATGCATTTATTACTTTGGAGAATTAAAATGAATTGATATTCTAGATTGATATTCTAATAGGTCCAAGCATTTCTTCAATCAGGTTATTAATTTTAAAAATATCTAGCTAAGAGTTTTTATAGTGCCCAGGATATTAGCATAGTTGTGATTCGAAAAGGGTAGGAGCTCAGTGTCAGCAAGATGGGAAGTTGTTGATATTTTCTTTCCTTATATGTCCCTGCTACTTAGCAAGTAGATGATTTACCTTAAATTAACATATTTGATTGAATTTGATGATGTAAATTCACCAATTGTAAAGTTTAACTTATGTTTATATCTTCTGAATATCATAAATATTCTATCAAATGATCTATTATTTAAAAAATTTACTGAAAAGTCTCATGGGATCAGAAAATGGTCAAGTACAATATCTTTTGAATCAGTAGGAAGTATTGACCACAATTTTAAAACTTATTTTCTGTGCATAATGATAGAGTCAAAAATTTATGATATTTGTTTCCAAATTCTTTAGGAAAAACTGGAAAGAATCAATGATGCTCTTTCCAGTGAATATGAGTGCCGCCGGCGGATGTTGATGAAACGATTGGATGTAACAGTGCAGTCCTTTGGATGGTCTGATAGAGCAAAGGTAAGGCTGTTTTCCCATTTGTGTCCTGTAGGTGGTACTCTGTGACAGCTCTTCAGGCTCTATCTGTTATGTAACTGTGCCACATTTGCACTTTTTCACTCTGTCTGAAGCACATGCCCAGGCCAACGACTGGTCTTATATAATGACCCTAGCCTTGTGTAAATCCTTGTTTGCAGATGTCTTAATTTCTATCCATATATTTCACATTTATTTTAAACTCATAGCTGTTGTAATTTATGCAAGGATTGCATAAAAGAAGGCATCAGATGAGATAGTGAAATAGATATGGTGAGCAGCTGATTGAGAAAGCAGGATATAAGAAATAGGTACAGGTAATACAGATACCTGATCAAGTCGTCTTAAAAGTGTCTTAAGGCTGTGGAGTGTGGTCCAGTTGAAGAGGGTGCCGGAGGGTGGGGGCATCCACAGAGAGAATCTCTTCCGGTAGCTTTCTAGAGAGCTGTCTCCCATCACTGCCATTTTATGCCTTTACCTGTACCCAGGCTTTGCCTGGGATTCCCTGCCCTACCTTGCATCATATTCTAGAAACTCTCCAGACAGTAAGCTAGGACAACTGTAGGAAGTCATTTGCTTCCCCTGTTTCAGGGTTCACCATCCTGTGCTCCTTGATGTCCAGTGTCTGAAAAATCATTGGTTTACATGGGTTTTACAGTTGTTTCAGGTTGCAAGGTAAATCTTGTGCATGTTACTCTGATGCTATTATTACATTCTTTGTATTGACTGGGCATTTCTTCTGCCACTTGTTTTATCAGCTGGGGTCATTGATGCAACTTCATTCAGATGATGCCTGGCCTGGATGCTTATCTCACATGTCTGGGTTCTTCTGTCTGCTGGGTTGCTTCGGTTGTCTTCTTGGCTCTGATGTGGTCTCTACATGTGATGTCTTGTATTGGTTTCCTATTGCTGCAGAAACATATTACCACAAACTTAGTGGCTTATGTAATTTACATTTGTTCTCTTACACTTCTAGAGATCAGAAGTCCTAAAATGAAGATATTGGCAGGGTTGCGTTTCTTCTGGACTCTTCAGGGGAGAATCTGTTTCCTTGTATTTCCTAGCTTCTAGAAGCCACCTGCGTACCTTGGCTCTTGACCTCATCCTCCGTCTTCAAAACCAAACCGGTAGTGTAGGATCTTCGGACCTCTCTTCCTCTGCTTTCATTATCACTTCGCCTAGTCCTCAGACACTCCTGTCTCTCTTACAAGGATCCTTGTGATTACACTGGGCTCACCCAGATAATCCAGGATAATCTTTCCATCTCAGGATCCTTAACCACATCTGCATCTGCGAGGTAACATATTCACAGGTTCCAGGAGTTAGGCTGTGGACATCATTGGGGGCCATTATTCAATTTACCACATGTCTCCCCTTCCTTCTAATTGGATTTTATTTTTTCTTGCATTGTATTTCACTATCATATGCTGCTGTTTTTTCTTTTTCTTTCTTTTTTAAAAAAGTATATTTTTAAAAATCAGCTAGTCTAACATTAGAGCCCTCCATTTTCTGTACACTCTCCTCCCAGAAGCTTCTGTCCTCCTATTGCACCCTAAGCTGTTTGCACGGCTATCCTTGGCTACGCCACTATTTCTGGATCCAATGGCCTCCTCTTTCACTGTTTATTCTCCTATTCTGTTATAGTAAATCCACAAAAATTTCCTAACAAAGGGTGCATTTGAATGATTTTTCTGAATCCTTGAATTCTGAAAATATGATTATTCTGCTGTCACATTTGATTTATGGTTTGGGTAAATGTAAAATTCTAAGACTATTGAAGGCATTGTTTTCTAGCATTTAGTGCTGCTTTTGAGAAACCTGATACCATTTTCTCTGATTTTGGATGGCCTTTTATTTTTTCCCTGGAAGCTTTTGGATTCTTTTCTCTATTCTTAAGAGTTCTGAAAGTTTACAATAGGTGTCGGTTTGGGTCTTTTTTCATTCATTGTGCTAAACACTAGGTGTACCTTCAAATTTTAGCTTTTATGTTTTTCTTTATTAACTTCTTCCCTTTTGTTTTTTCTTTCTGAAAATCTTTAGTCGGGTACTGAACACTCTGGGTAGATCCACTTAAGTTGCTTTATTTACTCTCTCATGTTCTATCTCTTTCTCTCTCTGATTCACTTTCTTGGAAATGTCCTTGGTATTGAATTTTTGTTTCTGCCATCTTTACTTTCCAGGAATTCATTTTGATTCTTAAGTTTTTCTTTTTCATATTTTTTTTTTCTCTCATATGGATATGCTATCTTCTTGAATGAGGATAAAAAATGTCAAAAAGAAAACTCCACCTTTTTTTGGCCTTCAATTATTTTTCTTTCCTACAGGGTTATTTTTTGTTTTTTTCACTTGTAGTGGCTTTCTTTAAATTCACGATGGTCGCTGGTTGTTTGTTTTAAAGAGCAAGACACTGAAAAGCTGATAGGAAACTCCAGTCATTGATTGGCATTGTTAACAGGAGGCATTGGAGCCCGCTATTGGGCTGTGGGCATTCCTAATGCCTTCTTATAGAAGTCTTTTTCTCAGTAGCTGCTCATTTTTTCAAGACAGGAAACCTCATTTTTTCTATACACTTTTTCCCCTTTGTCCAGGGGAGGAGGAGTGGCAGCATGGCACCAGGGGCTGGAGGAGTAGACTGTTCTACAAATGAACTGAGTTAACCCCTATTTTTGGCTCCACATTTCATTTTCTGAGATTCTGGTTCCCTTCTTATCTGTATCCTTTCTTTTCCATTCTCTTTGTTGACTCATTTACCTAGAAATACTCCCTCATGTATTGTACATAGAGCCTCCTTCCAAACACTGGGCAGACAGATACAGAAAATTGAAGAGTGATTCGAGCAGAGTTGCTGGTGAAATGAAAACTTATTTCAGGGAAAATTTTTTTGAGCATAGTAATAGTGTAGCTATGTGTTGGAGCTGAAAACTTTCATTTATGTATTTTCTTTCAATAAACACTTATTCAGCGTCTCGTGTGCAGCACTATGATGGACCTGGTCCTGGATGAGCATTTCCATACCCTACACAATTAGGTATAAAACATTTTTAGAAGATTTCTGTATTTGTAGTACCTAATCAGCTTCTCAGATGGTTAAAGCGTATTTCTCTTCTGCACGTACACTAGGCTAAACTCCTGAGATATGTGTGTGTATATGTCACTGAAGTGACTGTTGTACAGAGAAGCCCAGTTGCTCTAAGAGCTATGAGTTACCAAAGAAGTAGATGACACGATTGCTGACCTCAAGAAATGCAGTAGGGCTTAGATGTATGGGAGGTATTAGTTTTACTGACCTCTGGAAACTTATGGAGGTTGTATACATGTTGAGTCTTCAGTTTAACCTGATAGAATTTTAATGAGAAAAAGAATTTAGGAATATAAGGACAACTGTGAAAGGTGGTAGTGCATTAAAAGTGTCTTAACATCATAACTTAGAGGATGTTTTCAGTGTTGGCCTTAAGTTTACAGAGAAATCCCAAATGAGTTTCGACATGTTCTGTTCTTTGAGCATTACGAGTGGCCTGGATTTATGGGCATGTTAACTCTTTACTAGCCTTAAACTTGGGGACTTTGAGAAAATATGCCTTTAGGAAATAATCTTGATAGTTTATTTTTCATCTTGGTCTTTTTCGTCATGTTTTAGGACAAAGAGGTTGTGTTTTTGTTCTTTTTTCCTTAGTGTGGAAAAAAATTTTTAAATGTTTTTTTTCTTAGGCTATTTATAGGTCAAATTAGTCCTTTCATTTGATCCTTTTCAACTGATTATATGAATATATGCATTTATACCCTGAGTTTTCTTATTAAATTTCCTGTAAATTTAATATTTCTTTAATATTATCCCCCACACAATATGCCTGATATTATTGAATGACTCATCAAATATTGTTCTGCAGCATTTTAAAATGTTACAGAAAATTTTATCACACAGAATGATATGCTTTATTGATTGACATTGAGGTTTTAATTTTTGTCTCTTGTTTGACTCTAATGAAATCCTCAGCAGCTAAATTTTTGTTCATGATATATTACTAAAATTTCTTTTTTTAAAAATTGATATATAATTGACATATATTAGTTTTAGGCATAGAACATAAATTATTTGAATGATCACAATAAATTTCAGAATTTTTTTTGTGTTGAGAACTTTTAAGATTTACTCTCTTAGCAACTTGCAAACATGCAGTACAGTATTAACTGTAGGTATCATGCTGTACATTACATCCCCATTACATTTTTTAACTGAAAATTTGTACCTTTGACTCTGTTTACCCATTTGCATCATCCCTTCTCTGGCAACCGCAAATCTGTTCTACCTATGAGCTGCTTTTTTTTTTCTAAATACAAGGGAGGGGGTTGTTTCGTTTTTTTAGATTTCACATAAAAGTGAGATCATGTAGAATTTGTCTCTCTCTGATATATTTCACTTAGTACAATGCCCTCAAGGTCTATCCATAGTGTTGCAGATGGCAAGATTTTATTTATTTTTTCAGGCTGAATAATATTCGTGTGTGTGCGTGCGTGCGCGCCACATTTTCTTTATCCATTCATCCATTGATGGACATTTAGGTTGNTGTGTGTGTGTGTGTGTGCGCGCGCGCGCGCGCCACATTTTCTTTATCCATTCATCCATTGATGGACATTTAGGTTGTTACTGTATCTTGGCTATTGTAAATAATGCTTCAGTGAACATGGGGGTACATATCTCTTTTTGAGTCAGTGTTTTTTTTTTTTTTAGATAAATACCCAGAAGAGGAATTTCTGGGTCATGTAATAGTTGTATTTTTAATTTTTTGAGGAACCTCCTATAGTGGCTACACCAATTTACATTAACATCCAACAGTGCACAGGGTTCCCTTTTCTCCATAGCCTTGCCAACACTTGTTATTTCTTGACCTTTTAAAAAAAAATTAATTTATTGAGGTAGCATTGGTTAATAGGATCATACAGGTTTCAAGTGTATATTTCTTGACTTTTTAATGAGAGCCATTCTAACAGGTGTGAGGTGATGTCTCATTGCAGTGTTGATTAGCATTTCCCTCATGGTTGGTGATGTTGAGCATCTTTTCATGGACCTGTTGGCCATCTTTATATCTTCTCTGGAAAAATGTCTATTCAGTTTCTCTGTCCATTTTTTTATCAAATTATTTTTTGCTATTGAATTGTATGAGTTATTTATATATTTTGGATGTTGACTCCTTGTTAGATGTATGATTTGCAAATATTTCCATTCACTAGGTTGCCTTTTAATTTGTTGTTGGTTTCCTTTGCTGTTCAGAAGCTTTTTAGTTGGACATAGTCCCACTTGTTTATTTTTGCTTTTGTTTCCTTTGCTTTTGGTGTTAAATCCAAAGAAATCATCGCCAAGACGTATGTTGAGGAGCTTACAGCCTTATTTTCTTCTAGGAGGGCTTTCAAGTTTCAGGTCTTAATATTCAAGTTTTTAATCCATTTTGAGTTGATTTTTATGTATGGTTTAAGATTGTGGTCCAGTTTCATTCTTTTGCATGTTGCTGTTCAATTTTCACAACACCATTTATTGAGGAGAGAGTCTTTTCCCCATTGTATATACTTGGCTCGTTTGTCATAAATTAATTGACTATACATGTATGAGTTTATTTCTGGGGTCTTCTGTTCCATTGATCGCTATGTCATATCAATATCATAGTATTTTGATTATGATAGTTTTATAATACAGTTTGAAATCAGGGAATATGATGGTGTCAGCTTTGTTGTTCTTTCTCAAGATTGCTTGCCTATTCAGGGTCTTTCTGGTCCAAATGGAACTTCTTGATCAGAGAATATGCAAGATTTTTTTTTTTTTAAATCTTTAGCCTTTGTTAAATAAAAAGGAAGTAGAGGATCAGGAAACAGGCCAGGGACCCCTCCTCCCAACTATACATATACAGACATAAAATACACAACTGAGGAAATGACAAGGACAATTCAGGAGACAGACTGAAGGACCAAGGGAGGCAGCACCCTCCAAGAATGGGGCTGGACCCAAGGGTAGGCTGAGACCTGGGCCAGAGGCAGATGTTCTGAGGGGTTATGTTTGAGCAGCTTGGAGATGAGGTCCTGGGTTCCCGTGAACACTGAAGAGGGGAACTTAAGGTCTACCTTGACGATGCTCCAGTAAGTTTCATTGTGTGAAGCACTCTCGAAGGGGGGGTTCCCATCAGCAGCTCATAGCAGTGTACTTGGATGCACCACAGACCCACCTTCTCATTGTGTGTGCGCCCCTCAATCATCTCTGGGGATGGGTAGTCCAAAGTGCCACACATTGTCTTCCTTCTCAGGGAGGGGCATGTACAGACCAGCCAAGGTCAGCAATCTTCAGCTCTCCCTGAAGCCCCAAGAGCAGATTCTCTGGCTTTATGTCTCTGTGAATCACTGTATTCCTTTAGCACAGAACATCTGTCAGTTCCTCCATGAATTGTGCTGGTCAAAAGCACTGCTCTTCTGCAACTCCTTGTAATGCTCCCCGTGGTGGGGGTATCCCCTAGAAGTCCTTTGCAGGTCATAGCAATAGTTGTAGAGACACAAGATGTTGGGGGCTGCAGGCGGGCCTGAATTTCTGTCTCGCTGTGAAGCTGTTGCTCCACAGCTTCCTTCTCGATCTGAGACTTGAAGAGGACCTTGAGTGCCACGGTGAAACAAGCCAAATACACATTTTCAAACTTGCCCTTAGCCAGAGGATGCCAATCTCAAAGTCAGTTGTGAAGGAGTGCATTAAATGGGTGTCCCATCACTGTTCTGGCCAGGGGCAGCTGTGGGTTGGGCATTGGAGGGGCTCTTGAGGACAAGTGAAGATGGGGTGGTAGGCTTCTTCTGGAGGACTCTCTGGGGTGAGAGAGTTCAGACCAGATTAAGCCGGCAGGTGCTAGAGCCAAGGGTAGTTTGTCTCCTCCTGGGTCATCCTTAGAGAGAAAGGGGGAGGACAGCTGAGGCCCATGGCTGAGCCAACCTCCTGGCTGCTGGCAAATGACTTAGAAAATGCATGATTTTAATGCTTTTGATGCAAACTCCAGAGTTACTCTTCAAAAAGATTGTATACCTTTATTAGTATGGTTAATCTTTTTTTATTATTATCATTATTTTGCTAGTATTGAGATAAGATTGTGAGTATAATTTTATAGTTTGCGTTTTTTTCACTGATTATGTTCTGATCATTGTCTCATATCTCAAAAGCTCTATTTCAAAGTTAATTTATTATTTTTGGAGATATAATTCACCACTTTAAAATGTACAATTCAGCCCGGACGGGCCTGGCTCAGCAGTTGAGCATTGATCTGGGATCCAGGTGATCCGGGTTCGATTCCCGGTCAGGGCACATGCCCAGGTTGTGGGCTCGATCAATGACTCTGTCATCATTGATGCTTCTCTCTCTCTCTCCCCCTCTCCTTTCCTCTCTCTGAAATCAATAAAGATATATTAAAAAAAAAAGTACAATTCAGTGGTTTTTAGTATATTCACTGTATTTTGTATCTGTTAACCACTAATTCCAGAACATTTCCATCACCCCAAAAAGAAGCATGCTCCCATTAGCAGCCACTCCCAATACTCAGTCCCTTCCCTGGAAGCCACCACTACGATCTGCTTTCTGTCTCTTTGGATTTGTTCATTCTGGACATTTCATGTAAATGGAATCATACAGTATGTGGATTTTTGTGTCTCGCTTCTTAGCATAATGCTTTCAAGGTTCATTCATGTCATCTCATATAATAGTACTTCCTTTTAGTATCTGTTTATAGCTACTATATTTTATCACATGGTGAAGCTGTAATTTACTTTTATACATTTTTTTCTATATAACTAATACCAAGAATGTTAATATGTATAATTTTTATTTATACATTTCAAAGTATATTCTTATGGTGGATCCCTAAATGAAAATTTACTGTGTCAAAGGTTATTGACACTTCTCTTGATTGACATGGCCAAATTGCTTTTTAGAGAGTGGGTATGAATTTAAACTCTTATCAGTAAGGTAAATGAAATTTTGTCTTTAGTTTAGCCTCTTTAATTAGAATATTATCAGTTTTATTGCTAACTTCACAGTTAAAAAGACTAAGTTCTTTTCATTTGTATGTTTTTATTGTTGGTAAAGTTTTAACTTTTTTTCATAAGCTTGTTAGTCATTTCAATTTCCTCTTTTTTTTTTTTTTAAATTTATGTTTGTGTTGTGTCTTTTTTTCCTCTTAGGATCTTCCTGTTTTTCTTTTGATTGAGCTTTTTATATATTAAGGAAGTTAGCTAGTTGCTTTATTTGTTGAAAATATTTTCCCCATTGTCTTCTGATTTTTTTATTTTTTGATGTATAGAAATTTTAATATTTATAATATATTTTTTCAATTTAAGATAAAACATTAAACAATGTTTTGGAATTCCAATATGGTATACCTTATTATTTTTACAAATAGCCAACAGTTTATTCCAACACCATTTTAAAAATAATCCATTTCTTTTCTCACTGTTCCTTGATTCCCTCTGTCATTTATTGCATTCATACATGTATGAGGCTCTGAATCTCAATTGCTTTTTTTGTTTTATCAGTCTCTATTTTTCCTCCCCAAGTTCCATGTAATTGGACTGAGGTAAGATAGTATACTGTCATCGGTACACCTATGCTTGGGGTTCAAGCAGATCTTCATTAGTAGGTGGGCAAAGCTGGGATTCTCTCTGTATTTGGGGGAAATTGTTTAAGCTTTCTAAGACCCTTTCCCCCCCCCATATGTATAAAGGAGATAATAAATACAACCACTCTAAACAAGTATTTTGAGAATAAAAAAAATGACTGTTAAGTGAACAGTATCCTCGCACATTCAGTAAGTACTCAAAGAATGTTAGCTGTTAAGATGATGGTAATTTCATATTGCATATTAATACCTGATAGAACTCTTCTTTTTCAAAGTTGTTTTAGTCATTCTTAAATATTTAGTTTCTGGATTAACTTTAGATTCCTTTTATTTCCTTCATCCTTTCAAAAACCATTCCAATAAGATTGTAGTAAATCTATCAATTAATGTGGGGGGAAACATAATATTCACTGTCCCCATCCAAAAAATTGGTATTTCTTCCATTTATTCAAATTTTCTTTTTGTTTTTATAAGATTTACTGTTTTTTTCTGAAAGGTCCTGTGTGTGTTTTTGGTATTTTTAGGTGTTTTGTTTTCTTTTATTATGAATGGAATGTTTTTTGTGTTAGTTTTTAATGAGTCAGTTGATACTGGTAGTTGTGTATTTTAGCATCTGTTGGTTTACTTATTTCATTTTACATACAAATGATAAGATATTTATGACTGCCATTGCTCTTTCCTTAACTATTGTCATTTAGGTGAAAACAGATGACATAGCAAGAATTTATCAGCCTAAGCGTTATGCTTTGTCACCCAAGACAACGATTACATTGGCACATTTACTTGCTGCTCGTGAAGATCTGTCCAAGATCATTAGGACAAGTAGCGGCTCTAGCCGAGAGAAGACGGCATGCGCCATTAATAAGGTAGGTTTTTCTTTCAGTACAGTGGAGAATGAATCTATAGTATCATCATTTGATGTTTTTACATACTTTAATCTGTCTTTCGTGTCCTGGTCAACTAGAGAAGATGGCGTCAGGGCTTCAGTCCATTGAGGCTTAGTTTTGTGTGCGTGTTCATTTGAATTTCTGTATTCATAAGGTAAACCAAAGTTTTACCTGACTCAGAGGAATTAAGAATTGTTTTTATCAATAGCTTTAGGAAGAATTATTTGTCTTTCCCTTTTGTAATCATTCTGTGTCACTGAAAATCTGTAGGAATTGTTTCAGGTACTAACAGAGCCCCTGTATCCTTGGTGTAAGGGAAGTACGTGCTTTGGGATTGTGTATATACAAATCTGGGTTCATATCCTAGTTCTATTGTTTACCTAGAGGAATCACCTTGGGCAAGTTACTGAGTCTCTTAGAGGTTTCCTCATTCAGAGTGTAGATCCATTTTTCTGACAGTGGTCTTAAGCTCAGAAAGTCTGAATTTTTTACTTTAACAGCAGCAACCATAAACTAGTCTGGAATGTTTGTTAGCTCAACTAGAATGTACTCATTTAGATAGAGCAGCCTATGACAGACTTTGTTACAAAAGAGCAAAAAATCAGAAGTAAGGGATTGAGGTAATTTCAAAACATTGTTTCTCACACAATAAAGTGAGAAATGTATCCTTAATGCAGGATACCTTGCCAGAGGGATGGTTGTTTATTCAGTCAATTTGCCTCATTATTGCTCAGTTAGGCACTAGTGTTCATGCCTCCTACTTCCAATTTAGATGAACCTCCTCTATCTTCTGAAAGTGTCCTGTCTTTAAATACCGGGTGGGGGCAAAAGTAAGTTTACAGTTGTGAGCCCTCGAAATACAGAGTGTATTCTTACATTATTATTTATTATTGTATTTTTCATACCTACTTTTGCCCCACCCTGTATGTTAGTTGATATCTTGCATCACGTTATTTACTCTTGACTGCATCGAGAGTTCTACTTCTTTAAGTGGAACTGCCCATCTCTTTTCTGAGTTTATAATTTATAGTCTAATTATTTGAGGGCAATCTTTTTTATTTATGTTGCATTTGAGAGACCAATTTCTTGTTATACTAAACCAGAAATATAAGATTCCACTGAAACTGAAACAATTGACAGGATGTGGTTGAATTTAATTAAATCTTCAAGGGAAATAAGAGGGTCCTTCAAAGCCAACGTATGTAGAAGCCTGAGATTGGTGTAGGATAAACATAAGGATGACAGCATTCAGCATACCTACTCAGCAGGTATCTGCCAACATTCTCCCATTCCTTTCCTTCTGAATCATTAGCTTAACTAAATGGCTTTCCCTTTTGTATTGCAAGTATAAGCCAACCCAGTAGTATCCCTTTGGACATGATTCAAAGCCAAGAGAAAGTTTATAAATTTTATTCCAGGGTAGAAAGTGTGCACACAGACCAGCACACATTATGTGGTGTCAATGCACATGGTAGCAACTTTAATCAAATCATCGCCACTACCATGTATAACCTTGCCCTGTAGCTAGGCCGGTGTTCCTAATTTTCTATATTAAAATATCAACATGGCAGGATGTATTTTTTGAATTCCAAATTTTGTAAGTACTTCTAAGAGGCTACTAGTGATACAGAACAGAACTGTGTATCAGAAACCTGGGCATTAGGGAAGAACATTGATGGGTTCTCTCTGGGACTTTTTCAGAGGGTAGAAAGATGAACAAAGACAATGTTAGAATGTCCTTTTGAAGGCAATGTTATCAGTTCTTGGAGCAGTGATCTCATATACCCACCAACATAGCATGTTTGGTGGAGAGATCAGTGAGAATACCAACCAAGAAAAGCTGTTTTTTGGATTTGGTAATTAGGACATTATTGCTGACTTTAAAAGAATGTTTACATATTTTGAACCTTGCCCCCATGGTGAGAATGTTGTACTTTTTGTCTTTATTTATGACATAAATTACTAAAACGTAGTTTGGGTTAGAGAATCAGTGGAAGTAGAACCTAACTGATTCGTAGGTCAGTTTGGTTGAGGCAGTTACTGTTTTACCTTCTTCCTGAAAGAGACTAGTAGAAAGCTCTTTGGCTTACCCTTGGCCATGGTTGGTGGGGAGGCACCCTCCTCACTGCTGTCTGTCTCTCTCTCTTCATGGACATATATAGTAGAGCCTTTCTACAGAATTATAGGGTCTTAAATTCTTGGTTTGTTCTTCAAAGTATTGTAAAGCATGGTTAAGGAAGGATGTTTATTTTTTTAATAATAACTAGTGTCATCATTGAAAGTTAATGAGCTTAAGTTTCTCACTAGAGAGGAATAGTTCATTAAGAATCCTTGTATCTCTTTGCGGTGTTACCTTGGATTATAGTAATTATTAATCTCTGACCTCATTATAGCCACGTTATCACATATACTTCATACTTGTTGAAATAAAAGTGTGCTTAGAAATAGTCTTTTATTGGTTAGTCCATTACCAAATTAGGGACAATGGAAAGCCCAGAGTTGTTGTTGTATAAAAGGATATGAATTTAATTTAGGGTCTGTAGTTTATGTGTATTAATGTTTTGCTTAAAAAGTTTCTTAGTATGATGGGTACTACATTTGTTACAGAAATTGCCAAACAAATGTAAACAATAGAAAATAACAAGCCTTTAAGTTTTAGAAATATTTCCCTAGTTTAAAAAGAATACCACATTGTGAGGAATTTGTCACACATCACATTTATATTTTCAATATTAATTCATACTGCCATTCTGATACTTTCATGTCCTTAAATATTTGGCTTCGGTTTCTGTATTAGATCAGTAAGTTCAATATTACTTGAATCCTTTATGTAAATTTTAACTTTTAAAATATTAGAAACTGAAAGAAAATGTTTCTTCATACAGGTGCTGATGGGAAGGGTGCCTGACAGGGGAGGACGGCCAAATGAAATCGAACCACCACCACCCGAAATGCCACCTTGGCAAAAGAGACAAGAAGGCGGCGGAAGGGGTGGTTGGGGTGGTGGAGGTGGTGGTAGAGGAGGTGGTGGGGGTGG